ACGTGGATCACCACAGGACCTCGCCGCCCCTGGGGGGCCGCGATCTTCGCAAGTGTCGCCACTTTACGTGGGCTCCTGGGAGGCACCAGCGGAGGTACGCCATACGTGGATCACCACGGGACCTCGCCGTCCCTGGGGGGCTGCGATTTGCGCAATTGTCGCCACTTTTCTGGGCTCCTGGGAAGCCCAGCGGAGGTACGCCATACGTGGATCACCTCAGGACCTCGCCGCCCCTGGGGGGCTGCGATTTGCGCAATTGTCGCCACCTTCCGTGGGCTCCTGGGAGGCCCAGCGGAGGTACGTCATACGCGGATCACCACGGGACCTCGCCGCCCCTGGGAGGCCGCGATCTGCGCAATTGCCGCCACTTTTCGTGGGCTCCTGGGAGGCCCAGCGGAGGTACGTCATACGCGGATCACCACGGGACCTCGCCGCCCCTGGGGGGCTGCGATCTGCGCAACTGTCGCCACCTTTCGCTGGCTCCTGGGATGCCCAGCGGAGGTACGTCATACGCGGATCACCACGGGACCTCGCCGCCCCTGGGGGCCTGCGATCTGCGCAATTGTCGCCACCTTTCGTGGGCTCCTGGGAGGCCCAGCGGAGGTACGTCATACGCGGATCACCACGGGACCTCGCAGCCCATGGGGGGCTGCGATCTGCGCAACTGTCGCCACCTTTCGTGGGCTCCTGGGAGGCCCAGCGGAGGTACGTCATACGCGGATCACCACGGGACCTCGCAGCCCATGGGGGGCTGCGATCTGCGCAATTGTCGCCACGTTCGTGGGCTCCTGGGAGGCCAAGCGGAGGTACGTCATACGCGGATCACCACGGGACGTCGCCGTTCGTGGGAGGCTGCGGTCTGCGCATTTGCCGCCACTTTAGTGGGCTCCTGGGAGGCCCAGCGGAGGTACGTCATACGCGGATCACCACGGGATTTCTTGCTGCGTTCTTCTGAAATCATTGTTGGATGCTCTTCTTGCGCACTGCGGGTCTTTCAGAATGCTTGTCAGCACTGAGTGGCCCTGAGTATACTCGCCACATGTATAGACATGGTTGGGTACGTCACAGGGTAATTTCAGACGAGCATGCGCGGCGCTAAGGCGAGAGCCACACTCTGAAAGCCACCTGCTTCCAATCCGTGAAGCTCTTGCAAATGTTTACGATGAATGTGCGCGGCGCTAAGGCGAGAGCCACGTTTTGAAAGCGACCCGCCCTCCATCTGTGAAGCTGCTGACACTTTTTAAGCTTCAGAGTCTTAAGTGGTGAGGAAGTCTCAGGCGAGGCGCCCGGCCCGCCCTAAAAAAAAATGGCCTCGGGATGCGACAGGGAGGAGTTATCTTTAAGGAGAAGAGGAGGAGAGGAGGAGGAGGAGGAGGAGGAGGAGGAGGAGGAGGAGGAGGAGGGAGGAGGAGGAGGAGGAGGAGGAGGAGAAGGAGAAGGAGGAGGAGGAGGAGGAGGAGGAGGAGGAGGAAGCGGGGGAGGAGGAGAGGGAGAACCTTCTCAGAAGGGGCGGGCCTTCTCAGAAGGCTTGGAAGTCCTCCGGCCTTCCTGGAAGGTTTCTGAGTCTTCCCCGAAGACGCAGAAGGCTTCTCAGAAGGCCGGAGGGCTTCTAGAAGCCCCGCCGCTTTTTATCATTTCCTCCGCTCGGACGGGACGGGGCGAGGACGAGGATAAATTCCTTCTGAAACGCTCTCAGAGCGCCCCGGAACGCTCCGAGCAGGTCGCGGCGCCCGAGACATCCTGCAGAGCCGCCGGATCTCAGAGACTCTCGATTTTTTATCCTCGCCCGAACTTGTCCTCCTCCATCTCCCTCCTCCTCCTCCTCCTCCTCCTCCTCCTCCTCCTCCTCCTCCTCCTCCTCCTCCTCCTCCTCCTCCTCCTTTTCCTCCTCGTTCTCGCGCCACCTGACCCTGCGCATCTGGCCCTGACGTGCTGTCGGGCGCCTGTGCGCTGGCCCTCGCGGCCACGCGGCGGGGGGCGCCGAGCGGCGTGGGAGGAGGCCGCCACTGTGGAGCCGCTGCGGTGGCAGCGGCCCGAACTGGGCCTCGTCCTCGCTTCGTCTCGGGGGCCCCCAAACGGGGTGGTGACTCCTCCTCATCATCGTCCTCCTCCTCCTGCTCCTCCTCCTCCTCCTCCTCCTCCTCCTCCTCCTCCTCCTCCTCCTCCTCCTCCTCCTCCTCCTCGTGTGGTGAGGGATTCGGGGTCACCGCACGGTTTTGGGACTCGGGTCGTTCTCCGAGGACGTCCCGGGCGACAGGGGCCTCCAGGGTCCGAAGACCGTGCGGCGACGGAGCGTGCAGTGAGGTCTTGGGGGATTTCGAGGTCACCGCACGGTCTGTCACCGCATTGATTCGAGACTCCAAATCATCTTGCCCTTACGTCGGGCATGTCCCTCTACAGTGGAAATGTTGAAGAGTGGTTAGAACATTGTCTGGGGGCGATGTTTCATCGAGTCTTTTGGGGCAAGCTTCTAGCGTTATTTGACTATGTGTCATGTGTCGTCCGAAACCCGCCTGTAGAAGGACAGGCCCGACTTAATCTTACCCGCTCGCTCGCCGCCGAGCCCCGGCTTGTCGCGTCTTGCCCTCGCGGGCACACACCTTTGTCGGGGGAGCGTAAGACCCGGGTTTGCCGGGACTCGGGTTCGCCATCGTTTTTTGACGACCGCGACTCGGATTTTGACGAGGAGGAGTTTCGTGGGATGTCTGCAGCGGGAGGCCTCGTCAAAATGCAGGCTCGGCCTCGTCATTTTTTTGACGACCTCGTCGGGGATTTCCGAGTCCCCCGTACCCGGGTCTTACGTCTCCCCGACTTTGGCTCTCGGAGGCGCGAGCGGGCGGAGCGGGGCGGAAGAGGCCCTGCGCGCGCCAACGGGCGGGCGGGCGGTGCCCCTGGGGAGCCTTGGCATTGGCACCGCTCGGACGTGTGCGTTTTTGTTCTCGGCGACGGCCATCGAGGAGCATCCTGGATCATCGCGCGCGACGTCGTCGAACAAAAAAAAATCCAGGATCCTCGAGCAAACACGAAAGCGCACGAAGTCGAACAGAAAGCACGAGGAGCATCCTGGATCCTCGAGCGAGTCAAAACGCACGACGTCGTCGAACAAAAAAAAACATCCAGGAGCCTCGAGCAAACACAAACAACCTCACGAAGGCGAACCACAAGCACGGGGAGCGGGCGTCCGAGGGATGGCGAGGGGGAGCCTCCAAAGTCACCACCCACCAAATCACCCTATCCCAACCCGAAGGCCTCGATTTGCCATCCATTTCCAATATGGGGGGGGGGTCGGGGAACATTGAAATTACACTACCGAGGAACCCCACATACTTAATTTTATGTCCTGTGTGCACTATGCTACCACTACCACTGCCACCACCTCGAGCCACACGAGCCATCCATTTCCAATATGGGGGGGGTATCGGGGAACATTGAAAAGACACATGGAAAAACCGTACCCCCTCCCCCCCACCCCAACCCGAAGTTCTGGCGAAATTCTGGTCTTCGGGTTGGGTTGGGGTGGTCTGGTACCCATCGGTCGTTGAAAGTAGGTATTTCTGGATTCCCAGATTCCAATCTACTTTGAGCGCCTTCCTACTTCAAGAGTCGAGCGGGTTTCCCTCTCGCCTCCTCTTCAGGAGGCGGGCGGAACCCCAATCTATTTCCAACGCCTTCCTACTTCATGCTTCTACCTACTTCTTCCGACCGAGGGGTATAGGTAGTCACTGAGCTCTCGGGAGGGGGGGGGGGGGAGGGAGCGGGCGTCCGGGCGAGCGCGGCGCGGCACGCGCCGCTCTGTGACGACCTCCCGCTCGCGCGTGCAGTGGGGGCCCATGCCAAGAAACACCTCCTCCCTCCTCCCTCCTCCTTCCTCCCTCCTCCCTCCTTCTCCTCCTCCTCCTCCTCCTCCTCCTCCTTCCTCCTCCCTCCCCCTCCTTCTCCTCCTTCTCCTCCTCCTCCTCCTCCTCCTCCTCCTCCTCTTCCCCACCCTCACAGTGAACAGTGCGAGTACAGTGGAGGCCCATGCCAAGGAACACCCTGCTTGCCTCCAGGGTGCCCTGGGCTTCATGGGTGTCGATGGCATTGCTCGAGCAAGAAAACAAGACCGCACGAAGTCGAACAAAAAAACGCGGGGAACGGGCGTCCGAGCGATGGCGAGGGGGGGCCTCTGGGCTCTCGGAGGGGGGGAGGGGGGCGGGCGGGAGCCGGCGGGCGGGCAAGCGCGGCGCGGCACGCGCCTCTCTGTGACGACCTCCCGCTCGCGTGTGCAGTGGGGGCCCATGCCAAGAAACACCCTGCCTCCCTCCTGCCTCCTCCTTCCTCCCTCCTCCCTCCTCCTCCTCCTCTCCTCCTCCTCCTCCTCCTCCTCCTCCTCCTCCTCCTCCTCCTCTCCTCCTCCCTCCTCTCCTCCTCCTCCTCCTCCTCTCCTCCTCTCCTCCTCCCTCCCCTCCTCCTCCTCCTCCTCCTCCTCTCCTCTTCTGTGCCCTTCTCCTCCTCCTCCTCCTCCTCCTTCTCCACCTTCTCCTCCTCTCCTCCTTTTTCACCTTCTCCTTCTCCTCCTCCTCCTCCTCCTCCTCCTCCTCCTCCTCCTCCTCCTCCTCCTCCTCCTCCTCCTCTTCCCCACCCTCACAGTGAACAGTGTGAGTACAGTGGAGGCCCATGCCAAGGAACACCATGCTTGCCTCCAGGGTGCCCTGGGTTTCTTGGGTTTCGATGGTTATGCTATGGAAAGCGTGCCGCTCCCACACCAAAAATCAATGGACGTCCTGGGGTCTCAGGGTTGGGTTTCTTGTGGAAGGTCTCTTGTGGACTGGCCTCCACTGTTCGCCACTTGAAGTAGTTCAGTGGCTTCAGTCCTGCGTGTTCAGTGGCTTTACGCCTGCGTCGCCGCGTATGTCATCGTGCTGCTGTGTCCGCTCTCCCGCCCCGCCCCCCTCCCTGCCTGCGCGGAGCACGCAATCAAAAACTCTGCGACGAAACCTCCGCGGCGCGCGCTTCGGCAGGCAGGGTGCGGCCGGGGCGAGGAGTGCAGCGGCGGGCTCTGGCAGTGGAATGCGGAGGGGAGGTTCGGGCCACGCGACATGGAGGGGCGATCAAATGAGGGGGCATCGAGGGCTGCAGAAAAGAAGCCCTTCGGGGCCCCAAAGGGAGCCTTCGGGGCCCGGAAGGGGCACCGTTCTCCCCCCCCCTATGTAGTCGTCGTGTTCTTGTTCATTGTCTTGCCGATTCGGCGCGGGCCCTCGCCCCCCCCCCCCCCCTTGGAGAAGATCTTGGCTGTTTTTGGCGCCTGTTTCAAGCAGGTGGGGTCTCCCCCGTAGGACGCACTGCTGCAAACAGTCGCATGAAGCACAGGCCCAGAGCTGGACCCCCCCGCCTCTCCCACCCCCCAATTCTGCCCAGTGTCGAAACGCCGAATAAGAAAACGTTCACCGTGTGGGGCGTTCCAGAAAGGGCCTCGCATTCGAGGATCGCAGGAGTTGTCACCTCTTCCTCTGCGGACGGCGGCGGAAGGAAAACGCGAAGCCGCCTCTGCCGGCGGCAGCTCGGCGGCAGCTCGGCGGAAGCTCGGCGGAAGCTCGGCGGCAGTCAACGATGCGCCCCCAGAGAGATGAACACGTCTTTTGGGTTCAGGGCCTCCGAAGTCGCCAGCTTCACGCCGCCCCATGAGCTCGCGCCCCAGGAGGGCGCATCGGCGAGGAGGAGGAGGAGGAGGAGGAGGAGGAGGAGGAGGAGGAGGAGGTGGAGCAGAAGGGTCCCGAGAGGAACGGGCCCCCAGGTCTCCGGCCGCTCTCAGCCTCCAGTAGGGGGGGGGCCTCCCAGGGCCCCGGGGGGCGTCGGGAGACGGCTCCCGCCGAAGAGCTGAGCCCAGTCGGGAGCGAGAGCAGGACGTACACTTCCTCCAGATTTCGTAATAAAGGGAGGGGGGTCTCATTTCGGGGGGGGTCTCTTCCAGGCTATCTTGGAGGGCCTGGGGGGGGTCTGGGGACGATGTTTTGGAGGGTTCTCCCACGGGGGAGGTCTGCAATGGCTTGTCTTGGAGGGTCCAGACCCCCTCCGTTTTATTACGAAATCTGGAGTACCCGAGCCCGCGCGGGTCTCGAGAGTGCGCCTTGCGCGAACGCTCGTGTCAGCGCGGCTGGCCTCGCGGATGGGGAGGCCGTGCTCCCGTGCGTGGCCGGGCGCGGACGTCCTTCGTGGGCTCCCTGCAGTGCCGTTTTTTAATACATGCTCCGCGTGCGGATCATGTACCAAAAATGCAGGGACTCAGTATCAAAAACAACGATGAGCTCATGCATAAACTTAGTCATCAATTAGTCAAGTATTTAAAATCATGTATGTTTAAAAATCCCACGTATTTAATTCAACGCATTAAACCTATCCATAAACTAGTCAAGTATTTTAAATCATATACTTTTACAAAAATCCTATGTATTAAAAACTGCCCTGTACCCCGGCGAACGCCCCGGGGTCCAGGGCTCAGTTCCTTCGGGACCGGGCTCCCGAAGGGCCCGTGTTCCCTCCGTGCCAAGGGGGGAAGGGCGGCCACGTCTGCTCCTGCACGCGTCGATTAAAAGTATGTACACTTCTCGATTTGCGCGTGTCATCCGTGCGCAGGGGCCGTGCTGATCTTCTCTGTATCGTTCAACTTTAACGGGTGATCCCCGGAGGGAATCCCTCCTGCACGCGTCGCATGCGGCTGCGGCTTGCCGCAAAAGCTGTCGGGTACGGATGCGCAGGAGCGTCAGCACGCGTTGCTGACATGGAGGGGAGCAGAACATGTGGTCTTGTTGATGGCGTGTGCGTCTTTCCCCGAGTCCTCCCCCCTTCAGAGTAGCACCAGGATCTCTCGTTTGCGCGCGTTCTCTCCAGGTCTCTCTACGAACCGCTCACCCGATAGACGCGACGGCCCTCTCAGTACAACGAGTAACGCCAGAAGAGCGAAAGACTCGTATTTCCCATCGCCTTGCATTCCACATGATTGCGGATATATTATTCGAGCAGGAGCAGGAAGAAACGGAAGAGGCGGAACGCGATGAGTTCGAACAGGTTCTCGGTTGTTCCGCTTGTCGGTTGATTTGCCTTCGGTCATCCCCGTGTTGCAGAATGCCCTTTGCAGACGGCGCGTGCTATTCCAGCGCCTCTGTCTGATCAAGCCCGCCGCGGGGCAAGCTTCCTTGCCAGCCGCCCCCCAGCTGGTTGGGCGGGGATCGGAGGAGAGCACAGGTCTGGTTGCTCACGCGCGGCAGCCAAGGGTCCTGCGCCCCTCCGCCAGACTCGAAGCAAGCTCTGCCCGCGCAGCGTCGGTGCCCCCGGCCCGAGAGCCTCGATGCGTTGATGCCAGGACCGAGGACTCTTCATGCTTTGCGCTGGCCTCCGCAGCCCACGCCGCGGAGCGTGGAAGCTCGGGGGGCAAGGGAGGAGGAGGAGGAGGAGGAGGAGGAGGAGGACGGCAGCACTTCCTCCGAGTGTCGCGGAGAGGTGTGGGGGGCGCGCGTGCTTCGCCGAGGCTCACTGCACCTCCGCTTTCGAGGGGGGCCCTCGCGCGACCTGCGGCGCCGTGCTACACACGCGCACACGCGCACCACTTCGCGGTGGCCTCGGCTGGGCCAGCCTTCCGCCTGCTCCTGGGTCATCTCGGGGGCCTCCGGGGCGTTCTGGCCGGGCGGGGCCCAGGAGAGGGGCACAGGCGGGGCGCTGCAGAAGGGACCCTGTTCGTTGGGGAAGGGCTCGGTGTTCCTCGACTGTTTCACAGTCTGTCTGAGGTTCTCCTCCGGCTTTCCACGGGAAGTAGAAGTTTATCGTATGGGAAAAATGGGCCTCGTTCCTTATTTGGGGTTCCTTAGGTCAACGCGCCGACTGTAAAGCCGTTTCAGAGCAATCCGGAACGCTCTCTGAGCGTTCTGGTGCGCTCTGGGACAGCCGCGGCGCCCGATACATCCAGAATCGCCCCGTCTTGGAGCTTCCCGACGTATCCAGATCCGATGTTGTCCGTGTCCCAGCCTCTTCTTCTGGGAGCCGCTTGGGGCGTCTTGGGGCCATCTCGTGGCTCACTGTGCTGTCTTCGGGGCCTCTTGTGGGCGCCGTCTAGGGCCCCGCTGAGTTGCCTTGGCGACTGCCGCAAGTACTCCCCAGGCAGCGTGTGCCACTGGGCTCAGGTGCAACGTTAGGCTCCGGGGGGACCGCATCGACCCCCAGTCGCCCACAGATCCCCGATAGGGGCCTGGTAGCCCACCCCGACCTGGAGCGCGCAGCTTCGCTACCGGAGGTACATCGCAAAGACATCGGCGGCGTATCGCCGATTCCAGCTCGATGTTTCCCCCCTGAGCGGGTCCTCCCTGGTCGTTGCCCCTCGTAGACGCCGAAAGTGGAACACAGGCCAGATTTGGCACGTCCGCAGTGCAGGACACTGAGCGCAGCAAAAGTGCGATACAGCTGTGCTTGTGCAGGTTTTCGGCAGCTTCCAGCACGTGTGCCAAAAAGTGCGCCAGAAGATACCGAGGGCATGAGCGCCCGTGCGAGACGTATTCGCCGCGCCGGGCATGCAGCAGATCCTTTTGTCGAGCGCGTTGATATGAGAATGTGGCGGGTATGCTGTGGCACATAGAATGCAGGGAACGGAAAGGTCGGTTCCGGGAGTTGATGGTTTTCTGGCCGCCGCCGGGTTGTGTTGGGGCTCTCATGGCTTGTCTTGGGGGCGCCTCTGCGGGTCGCCCGGGTGCGCTCTTGGAAGGATTTGGTCCGTCCGAGGCTACTTGCGGGCAGGCTATTTCGGGCGCCTCATGGGGCCGTATGGGCACCGTTTGGGGGGCCCTTTGGGCCATCCCTGTGCTGGGGTCTCGTGGGGTCGTCTGGGGGCCGCCTGGAGGCCATGTTGGGCGGTCTCGGGGCCGTCTTGAGCCTCTTCTGGAGGCTCTTTTGTGGGGAGTCACGGGGCCCGTCTTGGGCCGTCTCGGGCTGCTCTTGGAGGCCTTTGTGCCGTGATAAGGCCTTCCTGGGCATCGTCACGGCCCTTTGGGCCGTCATCGGGTTCTCCTGGGGCCGTCTCGGAGCCACCTCAGGGCAGAACGCGCTGGCGTGCACAACGTGCATTTTGAGCGCGTACTGAACGGACCCTCGCTCGCGCAGGTAATGAGATTATTCCTGGGGGCCTCATTGAAGTCTTGCAGGGGCCTCCTCGGGTCTTCTCGAAAGTCTCGTTTGATACTCTTGGGGCCGTTTTGGGAATCCGGGACCATATTTTGGGGAAGGGCTCCCGGGTCTCTTCAAAGTTTCCCGTCCCGTACCATGTTGGTGGCCTTTTGGGCTGTCTTGAGGGCATTTTGGGCCGTCGACGCCGTCCTGTCTGTCTCCTCACAGAGGTCTCTTGGGCAATTTTGGATTGGTCTGAAGGACGTCGTTGGGCGGTCCCTGGAAATCGGGACCTCGAAGTTGCGAGAATGCGAGCATCCTTGAGAAAGCAGCAGCAGCAACGAAATCTATTATTGAGAGGGCCTGACGGCCGATGCCGCCGACCCTGAAGCACATCGACGACCAGTAGGAGGAGAAGGAGGAGGACGAGGAGGAGGAATAGGAGGAGGACGAAGAGGAGGAGGGAGGTGAGGTAAGGAAGACGAGAGGAAGGAGGGGTGGACGAAAAGAAGGAGGAGGAGGAACCTTTGCTGCTTTTCCTCCTGCTCCTCCTCCTCCTCCTCCTCCTCCTTGTCCTCATCCTCCTCCTCCTCCTCCTCCTCCTCCTCCTCCTCCTCCTCCTCCTCCTCCTCCTCCTCCTCCTCCTCCTCCTCCTCCTCCTCTCTCCTCTGTCTCCAACCCCCGTCCTCCGCCCTCTCCTGCACCTCCTTCTTCTCCTCCTCGTCCTCCTCCCCCACCTCCTCCTCCTCCTCTCCTCCTCCTCCTCCTCCTCTCCTCCCTCCTCCTCCTCCTCCTCCTCCTCCTCCTCCTCCTCCTCCTCCTCCTCCTCCTCCTCCTCCTCCTCCTCCTCCTCCTCCTCCTCCTCCTCCTCCTCTCCCCCCCCCTCCTCGACGACGGCGGCGACGACGACGACCCCATGTCGCCGCGCCTTGCCCAGCGCCGGCGGGGGAGGGGGGAGGAGATAAAGAGAAGGAGGGGGAGCTGATGGAGTGGGGGCCTTAGAAAAGAAACAATCACATTACCCCCGGGACACCCCCCCGTGACACTGTCGGCAGCTCCTGTACATTTGAGGACGATTAGCTGTCGCTCTGGGCTTTTACTTTTACTATGGCGCATTTTCTCCAAATTGCATTGCATAGCCTGCATAGCCGAGTCTTTGCCAGTCCCCCGCGGAGCAAAGTGCAGTAGAGTAGATAGAGGGTGGAGTAGGCTAGAGTAGGGTAGATCTGAATTGAGCAACGTAAAGTAAAGTGGGGTAGAGTTCACTCCAGTCCAGTCCAGTCTACTACAATCCAGTCTACTTCGGTCTCATCCCGCCCACTGCATGTCCGTATTCCAGATTCCGATCTATGTTGCGCTGGTTGATCGTATCATCTTGACGCTACGATCTCAGTCGGTCTGAGCATGCCTGACGTGGAGGAGGAGGAGGAGGAGGAGGAGGAGGAGGAGGATTAGGAGGAGAAGGAGGAGAGAGGAGGAGGGAAACTGTTACCCCGAGATGCATCAACTATGTTGCAATGAACCCTACCTCCAAGTTCCCTCTTCACAGGTCCTTTTTTATGTTGGGAAGTGCCCCATTGGAAGACAACCGTCTGATAATTGATAATCCCCAATCGCGTCAGAGCACCACTCCTGTGATTCATCGCCGCGGATCAACGTGACTGCTGCGTCCTGACAACCCAGATGCGGCACCAGATCAATACTCCTGTGACTGCAACACCGCCAATCGATGTGAGCGCAGCGGTATGACAGTTCTCAGTCGCACCAGAACCATATTCTTGGGACTTCAGCCATACGAATCCAGGAAACTGCTGCAAACACTCAAGACGAATGTGCGCGGCGCTCAGTCGAGAGCCATATTTTGAAAAGGAACCATCTGCCATCAGATAACATGCAGAGCTTGAAAACGAATGTGCGCGGCACCAATGCGAAATCCACAATTTAAAAGTGGCCCGCCCTCCATCCTTAACGCCGTTGTGTTTTTTGCAGCACGTGCGCGCGGAGCTGATGCGAGAGCCACGTGTTGAAAACGGCCCGCCCTCCACCGGTGAAAGATTGCGAACTTTTAAGACGAACGCGCACAGCGCTAAGGCGAGGGCTACATCTTGAAATCGGCCCGCCCTGCATCTGCAAAAAAGCTGCATCTCTCAGGTGGGTGCTCCCCTCGGACTGTGGGCCCCCCCCTTGCCACGGTTGTGTTTGGACTGCTCGACCAAGGAGTTGACCGCCTTCAACTGGGACCCCCTGGAGCCTCCTGAGCCTCGATGGGAGAAACAAAAAAAAAAACTGCATCTCTCAGGCTTCAGGATCAGATCTGATGAAGAAATCATCCAAGGCGAAACGCCCAGCCCGCCCTCCCGAGGCGCCCGGGGGTGCGACAGGGAGGAGCCAGTGGCAAGGAGAAGTGGTGAAGCGAGGAGTGTCGGCCACTCGCAGGGGGGGGGTGGGGGGAGGGGCAAGGGCTTCTTAGAAGCATCCCTGCTTCTTAGAAGGCGCGGGCCTTCTCTGTAGGTGTAAAGCTGGCGCCTTCTAAGAAGCAGCCGCCTTCTAAGGAGCCCTCCCCCCTCCCTCCACCCCCGTTTGCGCACCGCCAGGAGTGCCAAGTTCTGCCATTGACCGTCAAGGGTCGAGGGGGGGGGGTGTTCGATAGTGCTTGGCCCTCGTCGTACCTCGGGAGGCCTCGAGAGGCTTCTGGGGGTGCCTCTGCAGGCCTCCGCCTGTGCAGGCCTCCGAGAACTTCTGGGGAATTCCGGCGGGCAGTACTTCGGGCGGGAGCAAAGCATGCCAGGGAGGAGGAGAAGGGAGAGCGAGATGAGGAGCGGGAGGAGTGGCAGGAGGCGGTGGAGGGAGAAGGCGAAGGGCACTCCCGGGCGCGCTCCTCCTGTGTCACCGCCGGGTGGTCCGCCCAGTCCTTCTCACGACAGGCCATCAATCGGCCGCGTGGCCCTCGATCCATTCTCAAACCATTCCCCCCCCCCGAAGCGACGGTTGAGGATCGCTCCTCCTTGTCTTCGTCCGCCTCCTCATCCTCTTCATCCTCCTACTCCTCATCCTCTTCCTCCTCCTCCGCATCTTCCCTCATCCTCCTCGTCCTCCTCCTCCTCCTCATCCTCTTCCTCCTCATCCCCATCCGTTTCTCGTTTCCGGTCCCGTCGTCCTCCTCCTCATCGTTTTCCTCGTACTCCTCCTCCTCCTCCTCCACCTCCTCCTCCTCCTCCTCCTCCTCCTCCTCCTCCTCCTCCTCCTCCTCCTCCTCCTCCTCCCCGTTATCTCTCCCTCCTCCGTGGGGTTGCGAGGCTGCCTGACTGACTGCACTGGAGTTATCCAGTGCCCTCGCTCTCCACTGTCACACAGGATGAGACGAAGATGAATCC